GTGTAGGGCATTTAGCATTTATAGCTTGTTAGTGGGAATAAGAAGAGTGGGGCATTTATGATTCGGCCAGCTGGGCATTTATTATGGAAGGCAGTAATGCTGAAGATGTGTATAAGAAGGGGCTTTGGGGGATGGAGGAGGCAGACTTTTGCTGATTAAAGAATTCTGTGAATGCTTGGGAGAGCCGGTGGTCTCTAGAAGAACCGACCTACTGTCAATGTTTTCCTCTGAATGAATATCAGTTTCTCTTTATTTGAGTTCTGTAGTTCTTGCCTTGTGTGTGAACTTTTCGGGACATATCACCTCAGTGGTGTAGAGGTGTATTTGTAGATGTAGATCACACATTTGCTATGCTATACTTTAAATTCTACTAAAGTTACCCTGTACTACATGCATGGGAGGTCTTGTTATAATATATACTCTACTTTATCGGATATTTCACACTTTGTTATATGAAGTTTCATTTTTTTGGTTACCCTTTTAAATGTCCTGAAAGGAGTTGGAGATTTGATATTATATGAATGCAAAACCTGACTATTTTCCCTGATAAATAGGCTCCTCCAGATCCAAAACCAGAATCAGCCGTTCAGAAACCTGAACCAGTTGTGCAGAAGGCTGAACCCACAACACAGGCGGTTAATTCTACAGTTGTCCCACCTCCCAAAGTTGATTATGCTACAGATCTTTTTAACATGCTCTCAATGGAGAGTCCAAATGCAAATGGCAGAGATACATCTTCTATTGATGATAATGGATGGGCTGGATTTCAGTGTATGTGTGTTTCCATGCCAAATACTGGCGTCTAACCAATTCATGTGATTTTCAAGATTTTCCTTGCGAATATTTCCTTGGCTGTCTTGTTCTTTGTTAGCATTGATGTGATTTTGGAAATTATATCCTGTTCTTGGCATTGACTCTAAAATTAAAACTTGCAGCTGCAGAAACATCATCGACAACTGACAATGTTTCTCCAGCAAAGCCAGTTGAGAGTAAGACCCCTTCAGGCTCTGGAATTGAGGATTTATTTAAAGATTCACCATCTGTTACACAACCTCCAAATTCAGACAAACCCCAGAAAGATGTAAAGAATGACATCATGAGCCTCTTTGATAAGGTAGGTGTTATAACATTATTTAATTGATTATATTGATGAACTGAGTTGCAACAATGTCGTTAATGTGTTACACTTGCTCTTGATATCAACGGAGAGAAAAAAGAAAAATATTTTATTGTCAACCAGAATTGGCAGATGATCCCAACTCTACATCTGGAATCCTAGTCAAGGTTACAAGTCTGAAGTTCAATTTCTTATGAATGAGTGAACAAGTTCATTTGCTGTCATTGCACAATCAACTTTTAATAATACTAGTATTTTCATTTCCTGATTATAGAAGGAAACATGTTAACATACTTTTGTACTTTATGTCGTGCAGTCCAATATAGTGTCACCATTTTCCGTCCATCAACAGCAACTAGCCATGCTTGCACAGCAACAGTCCCTTCTCATGGCTGCTGCAGCCAAGTCGGGGAGTGTGGCCCCAATATTTCCTGGAAATACCCATCAACATGTTACTCCTGTCTCTAATGGCACTCATGTCCCTGGTAACAATTTACCTGCTCAAAACTGGTCAAATGCTAGCTACCAGGTTCCTGGGATGACAATGCCAGTGGCTGGACAAAGTGACTTACAGAAATTTATGCAGGTAAGTCTCTTTAAGTGCTTACATTAAGGGCCTGTTCGTTTGCTCTGAAGAATGACATCTGAAAGTGAAATAATTACATTAAGAGATATTGGCATTGGTGAACTTTTATTTTCTTTGGACTCTGAACGTAGAGATTTTTGTTCTGAATTCTGAATTCTGAATTCTGAAAATTATCAAATATCATTTTTGACCCCATATATGAGAATTTTTGTTTGTCTTTTTTTTGGGGGTATCATTGGAAAACAAAAAGTCGTCTGATTGCACTTTAAGAGATAAAAGATAAGAGCAAATGAACAACCAATTTTCTCTTAAAGTTAAAAGATTTCTCTTAAGAGATAAGAGTTAAGAGGAAACGAACATGTCCCAACTGTCCTATGGAAGGGGAATGAATGTATGTCATTTATATTCTTTCTTGCAGGCAGGACATATTAGACCGACACCTCCAGCAGGGAGCTCTGTTTCTTATCCTGCACCAAGGTATGCCTTTGCCCTAAATTTACTTATTGCATTCAAGGCCCTGAATCTAAAATTTGGTTTATTATAAATATCAACTGACCATTTCCATAATCCATAGTCCGTATAGAATGAAAGTAGAAAGAAGAAAACAAGACCATGATAATGATGATTTCATTCTTAAGTATATACGTGTGGTGAACAGATTTCAAGAACTTGTCTATGTTCCATCTTCATAATCCTTGCTGTTTTCATTTCTGTCTTGCAGCATGTATACCATGGGGTCGGTTGCTCCCAGCAATGGAGTAATTACGGGTGGATTGAATAGACCTCCTTCGGTATCTTCTGTCTCTTCTGTCACTCCTACCCAATCAGGAAAAGATTATGATTTCTCATCATTAACGCAAGGGTTGTTTTCAAAGCCCTAGGCCATATGCAATCAAGCAACAAGATATTGGTTTTGTCTTACCAATTACCATACCACAGATTTTACAGGAAGTACAGTATTTTGCTTAGAGAGGCAGTGAGGTCTCTCTTGAGTCCTTTCTATGGGGTTGTACCCTTGTAGGTTCTCTCTCTAAGCAGCACATTTAGTGTTTTCTTTTTAATAGTTTGGGTGGTGGCTTCATTTGTATGTGTATCCGGACCAATAAAGATGGGTTTGAAATTTATAAATGCTTGTATTTCTTTTCTCATGATTTATGATAATGGTGAGCTTCAAGCGGAGAGGATGGAAGTTAATCTTGCCACGTTGCTATTATAGCATGTTTCTTATCCTACACAAACGTGTTCACTCGTGATTGGGTTAGTAGCTCGTTTACACGTCTTGCTTGTATTGCACCCCTGACTCCTTATTTTCAAGCTAATCTATTAGATTTGTAGGCGCAACAAACAGGGTTGGTGCCTCCATGGGCATGGATGATGTTTTATTTCCTCACTTCACTTGAAATTTCTCTCTTTAATACGTAATAGATAATAGATTAGTCGGAAGATATGAAAGATGCTGGGAGTTAAACCAAGGGGTGGTTCGCCAATGCGTATGGTTTTGTTATTTGAAAATAATAACAACTGCAGCATCACACACTCTCAGAAGGGGATTAGAAGGAAAACCGTTTTGAGTCCAAGTCCAATGACCACATAAAAGTTCGAGTATGAATTGACACGTGGCAGCGACTAGTGGTTTAGACGGTGCCTAGCAACAGCCTTTTGGACTCAAAAAAAGGTAGGGGTAGTCAGTCTGGCTTGTCCTTGTTTATATCCTGTCAGTTCAGTTGGCTTTTTATCCCACCTACGACTACGAGGCTACTACTACTAAAAGTTAAAAAGTGTAAACCTTGATAACTTATGTATGTAGCAGATCGAATCCCGCCTGCATTTCGGTTTTGGAGGAGTCCGGATCTATTCCTTACACTGATCTTACAGCATATGGTAGTAGCCGCACATCGGGAACATCTTCCGTATTGAAGAGAGTGGGATGTAACTGTGAGATCGGTGTGAGGCATGTTCTGCTCTGTTAAGAGCGATCTCAATTCGGTTTTGGAAGGGGGTTATGGATTGGGGGATGGGTTACTCCCTTGTGTAGACCTTCAAAAAAAATCTAATTTTTAGGTCTTTTAGACAGTGGTAGTAAAGCTTTCCTCGTACAAGGGTTTCTTTCAAAATCCTCTGTTTCTTTCTGAAAATTTGAATACGAGTCATGCATGGGTTCATTGCTCTGTATCTGTATCTATCATCAAAGATGTATGCATCAAAAGCGTAAGATTTTATAATATGAAAGGAAATTAGACAAGGAAAAAATGATTAGAAGAGTTAAAGGACAAACTACAAGGACTTGGATGACAGCAATAAAAAATGATTAAAATGGTCATAATTTTTCCAAAAAAAAAAGTAGGCACAATTTAATTGATGAATAGATGGTCGTCACTCAACTATAGGGATGGTCACTCTACTCCGGTGAGCTCTTTCGCCTGTGGTAGTTCTCCTTTCTCCTCAGTGAGGAGACGTCGGCATTCGATGACCCTTTCTCACCATTTTGGGTGTCATCTAGGGGCTGCGTACCCATCTCCTTACCCTGGCTTCTCAGCAGTCAAGACCCTCAGCATCCCATCTCTCGCCCTACCTTACTGCTGCATCCATCTTGAACCCCTCTTAAATCACCATCTGTCCTAAACGCACACCTCCTGTGACATCCCTTAACATCTCTCCTCACCTCAGTTCTTTACAACACCACTTGCTCTAACACCATCACTGAATCTCACGTCCCGCGCCCTTGCATCCCATTTCGGACTTACTCCTCCAATAACCTGAACCTGTATCCCCCCTATTTCATCATCAGTTAACACTCAAAACCACACGTCTTTATCCCACAATCCCAACTGTTAACTCCCAACATGAATCACATCATCGAGGAGGAGGACTCACAGGAGGCTATAGGACTTCTAGACTGGAAAAATACCTTGGTCTATCAAATCCTCACTCAACGATCCGTTAACCACAGAGGAATTCGGAATATGCTCACCCAGTTGTGGACAGATAAAGGCGGAGTTCAAGTTAGTGATCCCATAGATGGAAAGTTTCTCAATCACTTTCAACAAAACCTCGGCAATGAAGGAATTCATAGATCGCAGCCCGTGGTCTTTTATGAACCAGATGATTTTGTTCAAAAAATATATGGAAGGACAGAGCATCCAAGAGATTAAAGTTAACCATGCAGAATTCTGTGTCCAACTCAACCAATTAACAAAATCAATGGAAAAGAAGTTCGGCCAACTAATAGGTGAAGTTCTCAAAGTCCACAAGCCTCCATCGGAAAAATGACAAAGTTTCCTTCGGTTGCGGATCAAAATGGACATCAGGAAACCAATCCTACCAAGCCATCAACTCTTTCGTAAAGGTAAGAAACCCCTATGGATTGATTTCAGATATGAAAAATGGCCAAATGTGTGTTACAGATGTGGTGAATTCAAACATGACTTCCAACACTGCCCCTCTAAGCCAGACACAAGTAGTGAGGATCATGAAGAAGAGGACCATGAGGAAGATCTGAAGAATAGGAGTTATGCACCAGGTATCCTAGGACCATAGCTCAGAGTTGAGTATCACTCTTGACAGGAAAATAGAGAGAAAATATCTCGTGATCTGAAAGCTTATCAGTTCAAGCAAGAATCTCTATAAAACAGAAACCACCAAGCCGATACCGGAGAAGAAAGCATCAATCCGGTAGCCGACAAAGCCAGTCTTTCTAGCAGCAAAGGAAAGCAACATGTCCCCTGGAGGCCACGTAGAAACCTAGGATGGGATCAAAATATTTGCAGGCCAGAAAAGGAGATAATTATCAATCCCCACCCTATAATCTCTACACACCATGATCGCCACCTGATACCCACCCAAATTATCCATTTCGTAACCAACACAGAATATCCTTTTCATAACCAACACACACTGTCCTTGATAACAGTTGTCACAAAAAGTTTCCACCCATAATCAGCAATTCCCCCTAAGGAAAATACTAGAACTACCAAGGTGGGCCATCATACCTCCCACCAGGTAGCTCAGGGACCAAAAGACCAAGGGATGAAGAACCTCAGGCAACCCAACAAACCCAAACCCAGCAAAAACGGGCGAAAACTAGTCACTCTACATCCCAACAGGCCCATCGGGGATCTCCTAAAATATCAGAGACAGGCAGCCCCAGCTTTACAAATACACCACACCCATGCCCTGCATCACCACAAGCTCCACCACCAGAAACATCGGTGACCCTAGAGCTCCCCTGGGGTTGCCGGGAAAAATGATTTTCATTATTTGGAATTGTCAGGGCATGGGGCGAGCTCGGACAATTCACTCACTGGGGAATACCCTCAGACAACACCGCCCCAAAGTAATCTTTCTCATGGAGGTGAAAATCGCTACACGCAGAGTTAAGCGATACCTTAGGAGACAGAGTTACACCGACTTTCTTGCAATCAAAGCACAAGGAAATTCAGGGGGACTTCTGTTAGCCTGGCAATCTGACATCTCCATTACTCCAATCTATCTATTAAATAGATTAATTGATACCAGATTACAATCAGCAAACAATTAAAGCACCTAGAGATGCACGTTTGTCTACGGTGAGTTCAGAAGAAACCGTAGAATAGAATTTTGGGATTCCATTAGATATCTCAGCAATACAGTTCAAGAACCTTGACTTCTCATGGGGGATTTCATTGAAATTACAAGTATACATGAGAAAAGTGGAGGATGACTAAAAATTTATCGAAGCATGGAGGAATTTAATAACCTCACTGAGGATTGCGGTCTCATGGATTTGGGTTGGAATGGCCAGCCATTTACCTGGTGTAACAATAGATGGAATGGTGGTTTAATTAAAGAACGCTTGGATAGATTCTTTGCATCTATTTCTTGGCGGAATGACTATCCTGAAGCTTATGTGTTAAATGGCATTGCAGTAGGGTTTGACCACAACCCTGTAATCCTGAACTGCTGTCCCCAAGTTTGGAAAGGAATTTGACCTTTTCGTTTTGAATCAGCTTGGATTTCTCATCCTAAATGTCAACAAGTCATCAACAAAGCCTGGAGCAGCCTTACCCCGAGAGGCTTTGATGCGCAACAACAGTTAGACTGTAAGCAAAGAATTGTAGGAGGCATTTAAAGGATTGGAACAGAAACTCCTTTGGAAGCATCCGAAGTCGAATTAGGATGATTAAGGATGAGATCATTTCTTTTCAAAATCAACCAAATTCTATTGACTATGGAGACAGAGAAAGGAATTTAAGGATTAAACTTTCTGAGGAGTTGAGAAGAGAGGAAGTTCACTAGAAACAGAAGTCTAGGGTCCTGTGGCTCTCTGCAGGAGACAGGAACACAACATTTTTCCACCAATCCACCATTAATAGGCGCCAATTTAATAGAATTGTTGCTCTTAGGCGAAGTGATGGCTCTTGGGCTAGATCTGAACTAGAAATTGAATAGGAAATCATTAATTACTTTACCACCCTCTTCACCACAAGCGGCTCCTCAAGTAATCTGAACATCCTAAATGACATCCAACAAATCATATCGGAAGAGATTAATGATCAACTTCTTCAACCGCTTACCCAGGAGGAAATTGAATATGTTCTTAATTCCATGAATCCTAACAAATCTCCTAGTCCGGATGGCTTTCCAGCTCTCTTCTATCAAACTTTCTGGCATGACATTGGGAAGGAGGTTGTCAAAGCACTACAGATGGCTTTCTCAGAAGGTACAATCAGCACTGAGCTAAATAGAACACACATTGCCCTTATCCCTAAAACAAAGAAGCCTACTGAGATTACAGGTTATAGACCAATCAATCTTACAAATGTCAGCTACAGAATTTTAACCAAATGCCTGGCTAATAGATTCAAAAGTCATGCCTTTGTTGATAGATCAAACTCAAGGAGCCTATGTTGATCAAAGAAGCATCTCAGATAATGTTCTTCTCACCCACGAGCTTTTCCACTTTCTGAAATCAAGGAAAATGGGTAAGAGTTGTTACATGGCCATTAAAATTGATATGAACAAGGCATTTGATCGGCTGGAATGGCACTTCATCTTAGCTCTCATGGAGAAACTGGGTTTTCACCCCCATCTCAGGAAAATAGTTCACCAATGTCTGTCAACGGCGACCTTCTCAGTGTTGATCAATGGCACAAAAAGAGGTGATTTTTAAGCTCAAAGAGGAATCTGACATGTGACCCTTT